TATGTTAAAAGTACAATCTTTAAATGAATGTAAAAACAATTTTAGGTAGCTTAACGTTTTGTCTAGCGTCGTAATCTTATATTCGCTGCTGTTTGCATATTAAGTACAGTGACAGATGAGTAAAACGATATAGCACGAGGCGTATTCAATCGACATATACCATTGGAATTAGGAGTTTTAATGGGATTATATGGTCGATTAGTTCAATAGTCAGAATATTAGCATGTTGCAATGGACTAGCATGTTTTAAACATGTATAATGGACAAAGCAATTATTGGAGACATCAACAGAGGTAGAGTTATGTACATAATCATATTATCGTATGCAGCTAGATACAACTACACGAAATATATATGTCAAGATGGCCATTCTCGTATGCATATAGACGAGGAGCAAAGTGATTTGCACCAATTGAAGACAAAATATCCCCGTTGTAAATAATAAGATGAGGTTGACAGAAGACGGTGGGCACAGATCTTTTCTTCATTGATGACTGACAGTCAATTGATAAAATGCAGCTGGTAGCAAGAACTAGAAAGAAGCGATGAATAACTTGTCATCGCTAGCGATCTGGAACCATTGCTGATACGTTTATGTCATTTATAGTAATGGTTTCCACTGGTGCGATGGTTCTCCTGTCGGATATAAAATACCTAAAGGATAATTCATGGATTAAACATATAACCATCGCTGTTTATTCTGTTTGAATCTGTCATCTCTTTACCAAGTGATGAGTCTAAAATTATCCCGGTCCTGGTTGACTGGTGTTGAAAATATATAAGAAATATATTAAAGACAACAAAATATCATTCAGTTAAATTAATCAGGTTGTGATTCAGGAAAATTGATTCAGTGTGGTACACATTTAGTTTGGATACTATTTAAATCGTTGATTTGACAATGTCCGGAAAATATAAATCACGGTCACCGGATTTTTTTTATAGAAATAAAACCAAGAAGACACAACAAGGAAACGGAACTTCATGTTTCGTCCTTTTCGAACGACTAGACATTGGTTCCGTGTCAGGCCCTCGGTCCAATACCACTGGCAATCGGAAAACAACACTGGGAGCGATCACGTGGCCTCCTGATCCATGTTTGATTCACTGGGCCACCAGACTAGAAAAAAACCTGTAAACAAGAGATGAATACGAAGACATCTGTTAGTATACGTCCCATTAACACCATTTGAGTCACGTTTCACAAACACTTCCGGTTTAGTGATATTAATGTAAAACGACGACCATTTCTGTCGATATGTATACAATGATATATTTACCGTGTAATTGACTTCGTATCGACTCCATGTAAACCAGGAGGATACGATTTATTTACTCGTGATGGAACATCTGTGTTTAACATAACACATCATTCATTCCATTGTATGTCTTCCTTTTAGCTACAAGGCGAAATCAAATGAAATGAAATGGGCATTCACGTCCTACTGTACTAAACCGACTGTGTTAATGAAAACGGGACTACAAGGCGAATCTTTTAGTATAAAATTATTTTACCTTGAGCAATCGCCCCCCCCCCCTCCACTGAGCAATCGCTTACTACTGGTAACATAGTCTTGTTTTTGGTAAACCGTTCAATAAGAAAACCAGGCGCATGTGCAAATCGTGGGTTCAAATGAAAACAACGTCCACGCGACACTAGCCAGGTTACTTTAGGAGTATTATATAGAAGCTTTAGATGGGGAGGGGTTGGGGAGGTCGGAATCGCCACCGATTTTTGGTCCTTGGGATCGAAACCACACCACTTGATTCAAGGACAGACCACGTGATCTATAACCAGATGTAGCCTAACACAAAAACATCTAAAACAAAAGAATTTAATTAAATAATACTGAATAAAATATCGTAATGTTTACCTTTTGTTTGGAAGACAGACTGAATTTATGAAACATTCGGCTTCAATCTTTGATCACAATTCCAATAAAATTAGTTGTTTTGCGTGGTTCGGGTCACGCTGATCGAAGGAATTGAACAGTTGTAAAGATTCTTGTTTCTTGGCAACAATGATATAACTGAAATAGGGTTTAACGTCCTACCGACTGGTCTAATGAAGACGGACATACACCATACATTGTGCTATTAGAGAAATTTCTCCATGACTACGCACTTCTTATATACCGAATTCCAATTGTCAAGGCTTCTTCTATGTGAACGCTAATGTGTACACGGGACCTCGTATTTCGTCCCATCCGACCGACTATACACATTCATGTCTTCCATACCCTTGCATAGTAATTCACATAAATTTAAAATTTCGTGCCCGATACCATTGAACAATAATACCTTATAATATTAGTTTAAGTATAGTTTCCGGTTTCCATACACTTTTGAGAGTGCACAATATTTTGTTTTCCCCATCTTTTCGGAACCTGGCCTAGAACGTTTCAGAACGTTTCATGATTAGTTATGTTGTCCTTGAACTGAGAGAGAGTGGGAGGGAGGAAACATATCTTTCAACAAAGACGCCTTTAATGTTCATGAAATATTTGCTAATGTCAGTATAACTTGCCGAGAATTAATCCAATTTAAGATGAATTATTGTGACTGTACTGGACATTCAGCTTAATGTTCGCCATGGAACTTCTCAATCGTGTAACAAATACCTCGCCAGGCTTGCATGGTATATGCTGTTGTAGCGAATCGCGGGTGTATTCCTGTCAATATTTATTTGGGTTGATATTTCAAATATTATACACCAGCTTAAAATAAACTGTTCAGTAGGCTATTTACGTGATATATTTCCCACGTGATATATGTTTTATCAGTTATTGGCTCAGTAGAGGGAGACGGGGTTAACGTCCACTTGACACAAACTAGGTCATTTCGGGACCCTACTCTGGGGAGATTTTAACGAACCCGTACGAGAGACTTATGCATTACTTGTGTGTGTTCGCCACCGTGGCAGATCGCACACTAGTGTAGACTCTATTGTTCCTGTATACGATTTTCAACCGGTTTCTTGCGGCTAATGCTAAACCTGAAACATATCCCGTGATGACATAGCAACACTTTACAATATAGTAAAATAAGACATTACAATAGTGTAAAATAAAATATTACTATAAAGTAAAATAACATATTACAATATAGTAAAATAAAACATTACACTATAGTAAAATAACACATTAAAATATTGTAAAATAACACATTACACTATAGTAAAATAACACATTACAATATAGTAAAATAATACATTACAATTAGAGGAGAGAGAGAAATGGGGTTTAACGTCCACTCGGAACAATTCGCTTCCGCGTAGGGGTCTTTAGTATTTGGAAAAAATCGGAGGACCCGGAGAAAACCCACGAGGTTGAACAGGCAACCCTACTCCTTGTCACGTACAACCAGGGATTCGAAACCACGCCAGTTGACGTGCTAACCATTCGGCCATCAAACCCCCATTACAATTACGTAAAATAACATAGAACACATTACGATATAATAAAATAACACAATACAACATATTAAAATAACATTACAATATAGTAAATTAACCTATAACACATTAAAATATAGTCAATAAGTAAACTTATTAGTATTAATGGAGAGAAGAGGCCTGCTACTAAATAAATATAAATAACTATTCAAATAAAACAAATGGCACGTACGCACGCAAATATGCCAATCGCAAATATATATATATATAAAATAACCTATATATATATATATATATATATATATATATATATATATATATATATATAAAATAACCTAAATATATATATATGTATATAAAATAACCTAAATAACCTAAATAAGATAAGTTGACATTAAACTCTCTTAAGTCTCATGAATCTATGATACTCGGAATCTAAATAAAATGAAATAGGGTTTAACGTCCTAATGTTCTCCTACGAGAGAGAGAGAGAGAGAGAGAGAGAGAGAGAGAGCGATGGGGTTTAACGTCCACTCGACACAAACTAGGTCATTTCGGGACTAACATATGGTTTAATTTTCTTTCAATAATTCGCTTGCGCGTAGGGGTCTTTAGCAGTCGGAGGAAACCGGAGGACCCAGATAAAACCCACGAGGTTGGACAGGCGACCCTACTCCTTGTCACGTTCAACCGGGGATTCGAAACCACGCCAGTTGACTCAATGACAGGCCGTATGATACAGCGCGCGCGTGCTAACCATTCGGCGTTCTCCTACGACTGGGCTAATGAAGACGGGCATACGCCATACAGTGCGCTATAGGGGAAAGTTTGACCGGACATCGGCGCTACGGCCTACTCTTTTATCGAATTCCAACTGCCAAAGGATCTTTTACGTGCACGCCAATGTGTACAAGGGACCTCTGTTTTCCATGAACTTACTCGGCCAACACCGGGAGGGAACCCGCATCTTACTCACTTAGCCACCGTGGCTCAATAAAAGTTGAGAATTAAGAATACCTACCAACTGGCAAAAACCGCTTTTAAATTTATTGAGAAAATAAAAAAAAATATCCTTTGATGTCTTATATTGTTCTAATTTGGTCTATGACGTCACTCCCTGATAATATTTTTAAAGTTTCAGATAATCATTAAGCTTTTGAACAAAAAACCTTTCAGATAGTATAGAGTTTAATTGTGTAGAATATGTTCCCTTTCCTAAAACGAGAGAAAAATAATCTTTATAAAAACAATAAAAACTAATAAAGCGCGTGTGTGTCTTCTATCATAACTATAATTTGACAAATGGGAGACTTTTCTTATTGAATTTCATTCTTCTTTTTTAAATTCTACCTACATGATACATAACAAATCTGACTGCTTCTGTTATCTTTACCGTGGGAAATGCTAGCGTTTTCAAGTTGTACAAGACATTAATTACGTGCTAATTAAAACCTTGATTCAAGTTTGATATCGACAAACAGGACGCAATTTAAATGTTTGGTCTATTTTGTCTGCTGATAGTCAAAGTCGTCATTGAAGAAAAATAAGAATTTTTGTAGGAAGAGAGAATTTTGTGATGTGTTTGTGGTGCGAGGCAGGATATATATATGTATCGATTTTATTGAAGAGTCGTGTTTCTCGCTCTCTCCACTCTCCCCTATACAAGCTAGTCTCGACACAACGCGCATGTTGTTCGTACTCTCAGCAGCGACTGACTAGCTTCAGGTACAATTCTTGTTTGAAGGATAGTAAATCATACGGACAGGTAGGTTCATTTAAATTCTTATTTTTATTTGTTTTAAAACAACAGGTTTGATACGTTTGTATATTTTATTTTTTTCAGGTGTTTTTATGTTTTTCTGTTATAATTAACTGTATCAATATCGTGCTTTAATTAACACTTTGTTGCTAGAATCAAATTTTAATTTGATTTGACGTTTTAATTAATAATTGGTTGTTAGGATAAAATTGTATTTTTATTTAAACGATGTAGATGGTCATCTTTGAACAGAAATATGATTTAACATCTTTATTTAATGAAGGCGGTCAACACAAATTACCAACTCGCGGTAGGGATATAATTTTATTTGGATTTAAACGAATTTAGTTTTTTGTGAATTTGTTATAATGATCTTAGATTTAGTTGATCATCTTTGAACAGAAATCTGATTTAACGTCTTGCTGTTAATGAAGGCGGTCTACACAAATTACCAACTCGCGGTAGGGATATAAATTTATTTCGATTTAAACGAAATTTAATTTAGATGTAGTTGATCAACTAAGGGTTGAAGTGAAATAGAATTTAAATAAAGTTAATGAAGACGTGTATACTCCACGCAGTATACTATTAGGGAATTAAACTTCCCCTGGAGAGCGGGGTTTCCGTCTAGTGCTTTTCGAATTGCAACTGCTAAGGGCTGTTTTACATGCACGCCTATGTCTACACGATATATCGACCCTCCGCCATACCTCTCCGTTTTTACCCCAATAATCCCGGAATCTCCGGACTCAGCGAGCTAGCGCTTTAATCGCCGAGCCACTGTGACTCCCATATGCTTGAAAAAAAAAAATAAAATAAATGAAAAAGGAAGTTTATAGACTATTCATTAACATCCGTGATAAATACTGTTTGAGTTCTCAGATGTAGTTAAATAAAACAAGCCCACGCCAATAACGGTATCACAACATACGGCATTACATCTTTTGAAATTTAGTGCCGGTAAACTTCCGTGTAGCTAAGTGAAATAATCCTTTCTATGATTAAATGCTAGGAATATTTTAGTGCTTGCTTGCATACAGGTCGGCTTCTACAGAAATGTCACAACCTTACATATTACAAGTAAAATGGATATATCTGATTAGTTTTGTCACTGTATTATTTTTACAACAACAATAATAATGTTGGCTTTTAAAGAATTGGATAACATCAACAATTATTTTAATCGACAATTATTTTATTGTGGAGGCTTAATGTAAGTGGGAGAAGAACTTCGATCTGAAAGATAACACCTGCGACTTTTGCTCTCTGTTGATTTGATTTTAAAGATATATTATGTAAGATCTAAATCTACATATTTCAGGTATTTATTCTGGCTTCAAATGTTGTATAAATTATTATTTAGACATTTATTCACATGACAATCCTATAATTAACTCGCTAGATCATCGGATAACCGAGATTTAAATGGATTTAAACACCAGCGAGATTAAAAAAAAATTAATAAATAAATAAAGAAAAAAAACGATAAAATTGATAATCGAGCATAAGTCTTGGTTACACGCACCGTAGCTACGATAATAATCAATCTACGCTGCATCTTCAAACCATCATAACTTCGCCATAAATAAAGTCATTTGAATGAAATTTTCAATATTTTCATTTTACATTATCTATTTTTAAACTATTATAGTAAAAACTGCCAGCTCTTTATCTAAATCGTATACAATGCGTCTTCAATGATTCATTTCTACAGTATACAAATTTTCTTGATTCTTGTCAAGGTGCTTGTATGAGATATCACCCAGGGTGGAAGCAGACGTTAAACCCCATGAACGAATGTGTCCAGGTGCCAAGTTAAGACAACACTGCATCCAGTTAAACATCGTAAAACGGATCCATTTAAAAACTGTTATAAACTTTTAAAATATGTTCGATTACTGGTCAGGTTTAACGGAGCAAAAAGGCTCCGTTTAAAATATATGTTACCATATGTTGAAATGAGTTATGATATTTTACAATATGTTGGAATCGCTTCGATTTTTATTCAGGTTAAACAATGCAAAAATGATCGGTATAAAACAGGTTAGAATCTGATGGAAGCTGTTGGATTTTCTTTAACCAGTATAATAGAATAAAATCTCTTAATTCTTTTTCATCGTAATGAACACCGTAACAAGGCTAATAGTTTAAAACCCGACAAAAATCTCTTAGACTTTACAAAGATGGATGATTTGTTTTATTTTTTATCAGAGGTTAAGAAGAACTGTGCCGTTAATACTTAATAGATAGCATCATTTTAAACTTTTATGTACTGCAGATTCTGTTGCTGATATGTGATTTTATTTTCTATCCAGAACCAATGTTTTATATGCTACAGTTTGTTTTTTAAGATTGATGGATTGATTTTGTTAGGAGAATAAGACGAACATTATGCGGCATCAGCGTATATACTGCATATGTTATTGATGTATGTTTTTAAAGAAATATAAACCTTTAAACTGACAAATATTGCTGGTTGATATATTGCAGAATAACTTAGAGTTAAAATACAGATATAACTTGTGATATATGACCCCAGCAGCGACAGATATAACTTGTGATATATGACCCCAGCAGCGACAGATATAACTTGTGATATATGACCCCAGCAGCGACAGTACAATTATACTGTACAATTACAGAATATGAAATAAAATAAAAAGCGAGATACATAATCAGGAAGGGGTGAGATAAGGCCTATAATCTATAATGATAGTCATGCCTTCGCTTCCCTATTAATCCCATAATTATCAGAGTAATGACGAATTAATTAATCATGGACCGGGCTTGAAGATCTGAAGGGTTGCCCTTGACAATACCGGGATAGAACACCGGGATATTATTCACAACCTACACCAGGATTAAAATCCGGGACATTCCACCTGCCCATACCAGGACAGAACAACAGAACATCCTGGTCAGAGTCCCATGTTTCAAAGATCTACTCATATATGTCGGACAGACTAACATTAGGCTTGTATTTAATAAGCATGTCAACACCAGAATGATGGACTTATGGGCATGAAGACTACTGCTAACTTTTTATATTTTTAGTCAAAAATGCGAATAATCTGAGATTATCATCGATGTCGAATCGACGGTTTGGTTCAGAGTCTTACTACTTTGTTGTGAGTTTTCGAGTTCACTTTCACACAAACTGATTATTCACATAACGATATAGCATAAATTTTAGTCCCCAAATGACAAATATACCGATCGTATAATTCGCTATGTCCAATTTCATAATTAGCTTTGACTTGATGTTTGGGTCAATGTACTACAACCTGAGGTTCTCATCTGGATTTGATAATCATTTTGTTATTGGTTTGGGGGGGGGGGGGGGGTGATGGACGAATGGTTAGCGAAGGCGCGTTGTATCATAAAGTCTGGCATTGAGTAAACCTCGTGGGTTTTCTCCGTGTCCTCTGGTTTCCTCCCACTGTTAAATACCCCTACGCGCAAGCGAATTAATAACATTGAACCATATGTTAGTCCCGAAATTTAATATCGTGCGTACCCTACCGCCCCTCCGCCCCCGTCTCTCTCTCTCTCTCACTCTCTCTCTCTCTCTCTCTCTCTCAATGTGTTATACAACGTGCAAATAATGGATAATAATGAAAAAAAGGTAAAACTAATTTCAGTTTATGGCTAGTAACATATAAATACATTACAATGGGTAAATAACCTCGTATTTACCATGACGCCCGACCCTTTCTGTTGTAAAAAAATTAAAATCACCAAAAATCAGTTTCAAAGTAAAATATTTATCATATACCTTATACAAGACATATAAAGACTGTCATACAATATAAAAAGCAACCATAGTCTGCCATACCAAATAAAGGTTTTAAAAAAACTCAGTCATGCCATATGAAAAGCAAATAAAGACTGTAATGGCATATACAAGTCGAATAAAGTCTGCCATACCAAATAAAAGTAAACAAAAGACAGTCGGGCATAATAAAAGTCGAATAACGATTATTCAAATCGATCATCATAAGACCAGCTATATTCTGTATTACTTCTCTGTTGTCCGGGGGTGGCCTGGTTATCTAATGCGTGCACGCTGGATCATTACGTCTGTCACCGAGTCTAGGTTCCTTCCACTGCTAAAGACCCCTACATGCAAACAAGTTATTGAAATAAGATTAAACCATATGTTATTCCTAAAATGACCTAGTTTGCGTCGAGTGGCCGTTAACCCTCTCTCTCTTGAAATAAAATTAAAGTTCTGAAATGGCCTAGACTGATATCTGTATTTACATATTTAAAGTCTGATTTTTTATCCTGGGAAAATAAAGAAAGTGATCATTGACCATCACGCACATTGACCATCACGTACATTGACCATCACGCACATTGACCATCACGCACATTGACCATCACGTACATTGTCACCTTAAGGTTTTCTTTCTTTAAAGACCGGTGGTGGGCCTGGAACGGATCAAAGGTGTAGGAAGTTATACTCCATTCATGTTCTGTTTATTTGTATCAGAATGAAATAAAATGGGCTTAAAGTTCTACTGTTTTACTCCGACGGGCCTAATGAAAATGGGGGTAATCAAGACGAAAATACGCCATGCAGTGTGCTATTAGTGAAACTTTGTCCGAACAGCTGTACTACGACCTACTCTTATATCGAATTCCAACCGCCAAGAGCTTTTTAAGATGCACGCAAATATGTACACGTGACCTAAGTTGTTCTTTCCATCTGAACTTTTCTAGTCACTATATCTTGTCTGACCCCCCGTCCTGCACCACTGACAAGCGGGAACCACGGTAGGCCCTCCGTCCTGCACCACTTGGTCAACAACAGTGGTCGAACACGAGACCCTCCATGTTAGCAAGTCAACATCTTACTCACCGAGCTACTGTGGCTCGGCGTATTATAACATATTGATTGTCATTTAGTCATAATACATAATATAGCTAAAAAAACAAATAATAATTTTTAAATTATGAATAATATAACAGCTGCCACTATTCAATCAAATTTATTATGCACA